CCCCCCCCCCCAGGTGGAAGCAAGAAAACTCGAGGGACCTCCTAATACCCAGATTGGGAGAACAATGATCGGAATGGGCCGAATGAAAAATAAACTCCTAAGTCACTTAAAAAAAAAAGTTGTCATGAGCAGGGCACTGGTAGTACACACCTTTATCCCAGCACTCAGGAAGGAGAGGCAGGCAGATCTCTGAGTTTAAGGCCAGCCTGGTCTACAAAGCAAGTTCCAGGACAACCAGGGCTCACATAGAAACCCTATCTAAAAAAAAATGTTGAGTATCTGGGGATGATAATGAAAATGTGGATTGTAAAATGAGAGTGCCCTGTGGCATGTGAGATGGACCCAGGTCTCTGAGAGCTACAGCTCTAGCTGCCTCATCAGGTCCATTATTTCCCTTGGAGATGATGGAATTGTTTGCTTGGTACAATCTGCAGTGGAAAATTCCTTTGGCTGTGGGAAGATGAGAGGTCTCTAGCAGGGTCATAATTTGGTCTGAATTGGTTATGGACCCTCCTCTTGTTGTTAGTAGCTCATGCTTCTTTCAAATAGCTGCATGTGATAAGAGAATGTGAAAAAGCATACTTGGAGTCTGTATAAAGGCTTAGGGATTGTCCCTTTGCTAGTTGAAAGGCACAAATAAGAACTATTACTTCAGCCTGTTGGTTTGTGGTTTGGGCTGGAAGGGCCTGTGCTTCAATCAGTATGGTGTCTAAAACAATAGCGTATCTTTCTTTTTATACTCCTTCATGCAGGAAGGAACTGCCACTTGGGTACTAAGTATAGGTGGCCTGAGGTAGTGCTCCCTTGTGTATATGTGTAGGTTGAGGTAGTAACTTCTTTAGGGTCTCAATGCAAGAGAGATAGGGAAAACTCTAGGATTGGTTGGGGAGGTTAGAAATGTTCAGAGGTGGGTGTAGCTGAAAAGTAAGTGTGGTGCCCTCTACCAATGATACCTGAAGGGAGAGAACTCGGGACTGGGGTATGTTTGGAGACCCTTGTATGTTAGAAGGGGATAGGTGGAGAGAAGACAGTAATAGGAGACCCAAAGGTTAACTTCTTTGATTCACATGTAAGAAATTCACCTGTGGCCAGAGTGCACAGACAAGAATGCCCTTCCTTGGATAGTATGGTCTAATTTTTTTTTGATAAGTATACAATGGGCATAAAGAAGATTCCAGTTGGTGACCCAGGATCCCAAGGGCATATCCCTCATTTATATATAGAGAAGGGTGAGTTAAGTCCAGAAGATGTAAGGCTGGGGCCTGTAGGAGGGCTTGTTGAAGCTTATTAACTGGCTTGGTAATGGGTGCAAGAAGGGGTTTGTGTGAGGGGCCAAGTGCTGCCTCATATAGGGGAGTGGATGAGAATAGACAAGGAATCCAAAGAAAGAATCCAAGAGTGTAAGAAACCAGCCATCCCTAGGAAGGATAAATTTCATCCTTGGTGGTGGAGACCGTGAGTAATTGAATTAAGTGTTTTCTATCTAGGGTAATTGCTTAGTGAGTCAGAGTAATAGCTACTTCCAGATAAGTAACCAGAGGGGTAGACAGCTGGACCTTAGAGGGTGAGACCCTATATCCCTGGCTGGGCACAATGTTTAATAAAGTAGAGGTGTCTGCCCAGCTAATTTGCAAGAACAGACTACAAAGGAGAACATAATCTATGAGCTTGGATTTAGGAAGAGCAAAAAAGAGTAAGTCAGAGGCCAGAGCCTGGCCAAATAGATGTGGGCTGCCCCAGAAACCTTGAGGTAGGATAGTCCAAGTAAGTTGGGGAGACAGCTGAGTGTCTGGGTCTGTCCAAGTAACATTTTGTGACTGGGTTTCCAGAGGAATAGAAAAGAAGGCGTCCTTGAGGTCTAGGACAAAGAAATGGGAGGTCTATGAGGAGAGGGTAGAGGGGAAAGTATAGGGGTTAGGTACTACAGGGTGAAGAGGAACCACTGCTGAGTTGATAAATCAGAGATCTTGAACCAAGTGGTAGGTCCCATTTTTTTTTTTTTTTTAATTTTTCAAGACAGGGTTTCTCTGTGTAACAGTCCTCGATGTCCTGGAACTCACCGTGTAGACCAGGCTGGCCTCGAACTCACAGAGATCCACCTGTCTCTGGCTCCCAAGTGCTGAGATTAAAGGTGCGCGCCACCACTGCCTAGCCTCTATTGGGTTTTTTAACCTTGAATATAGGGATATTAAACGGGGAAGAAGCAGGCACAGGTCAGAGATGAGAGGCTTAAGTCCCCTAAGGCTTTGGAAAGAGAGTGGGTACTAAGCCTGGGTGATATATTTGGTAAGGTTTTGTAATTGAATGAGAGGTGGATGATGTTTGCCTATAGAGGGGTTTTGGGTGTCTCATACCTAGGGAATCGACCTAAGAGGCTTGGAAAAGGTGTAGTCAGATTGTGTGGTTGGAAGAGGAGTGGGGGAACAGTTAGACTTGGGTCAAGCAGACAGGGTGGAGGGAAGCAAAAGAAATAGAGGCTCCCGTTTTGGCCCCTTACCAGCAAGGGGATAGGACAGGTTGGTACCAACAGGAATGAGTGAGTAAGGGGAGACAGCTAAGTGGTGGGGTTTGGTAAGGCTGGAAAGGCTGTCCTTCTACTCCAACAACAGAGGAATGAGAAGGGATGGGTCCCCAAAACTTTGTCAGGATCAAAAAAGTTAGAGATTGAAAGAAGTCATCTTGCTCTGACTTCATAGCTAGAAGGAACTGAGTGGAGTAACAGGCAGAACAGAGAGAAGGCTTAGAGTGAAGCTAAGAGAAAACTTGGGCATAAAGAATCTCTTTCCATTTTCCCAGATCACTCACAATCATTGTAAAAGTACCAAATAATATTGGGATCCAGGGTGCCATCATGTAGCCATTTGGATTGATTATCTAAGGGGTATTGAGGCCAAATTTTATTGCAACGACAAACAAGCTTAGGGCCCTTTGGGTAGGATGCCAGGTGTAGAGGCTGGAGGTTTTCTAAGAGGCAGCCCAAGAGGGAATGAGAGGGTATGGAATACACTGTTCCCATGTATGAGAGAAGGGAAGGAAAATGTCACTGCTGCCTGCAGTTGTGGGCATTGCCTGGGCTCAGGGAGGACCAGGCCATTTAGTGGGTCATTACTACACTCAACAGGGGTCCAGGGCTTAGTCTGCCTAAGCCAGAGAGACTTGAAAATAAAGTGGATCTCAGGACATGACAGCTTCTGCTCCACCTTCACCCCTATGGACAAATGCCTGCATTTAGGATGATCCTCTAAACTCTACTATTTCTGTAACCTAAAGGGGGAAAAATGACTTAGCTATGTGCTTTTAGCTTTCTTTTAAAATAATTGTTCTACTAAATATATCAGGTTTCTAGCTAAAACAACAACAACAACAACAAAAAACAAGTCAAGTATATGGTGATAGTCTGTGTACCCTAGTAACTTGCCTGAGGATAAGAAGACAGTGCCAGCCACTAGATTAGACATAGAGGTCAGGCAGTGGTGGCACACACCTTTAATCCCAGCACTTGAGATCTCATGCCTTTGCTTGGGAAGCACACACACCTTTAATCCAGGAAGTAATATGGCAGGGCAGAGAAAGGTATACAAGGCATGAGGAAACAGAAACTCACTCTCTTTAGGCTGAGGATTTCATAGAATTAAGAACTAGTGGCTGGCTGTTCAGCTTCTCTATCTTTCAGTTTTCATCTGATATCTGTTTTTTTTTTTTATTAAAAGATCATCTAATGTTCGAACAACACAAGTATATTTAAAAATATGTCTCTGCTAAGCTTTATCTAAATGTTATACAACAACTAAATGTTAAAGCATGGTTTTTCAATCTGAGAATTCAATAATCATACTTGGAATCTTTTATCAATGTGATCAGGGACCTAAAATAATTTGACCCATTCCCTCCAAGGCCAACTAGGACTCAGAGAATATAAGATTATCTCTTAAAAAGGTCCTACAGCTCTAGCAAGTCATGAAGGTAACACTAGGTGGACTCTAAAGAGTGTTAGACTCTTTGAAGAGGAGAGCCAACACAGAGGAAAATGTCCTCAGTAATTTCATGCAAAGCCACAGTTAAGTGAGGTCTCTGACTCATCCCAAAACAGATGGCACAATAGAAAGAAAGGCTAACGGAGCCAAGGGCTCCTCCCAAGGCCAAGGCTCAGACCCTTAACTGGCCTTGACAGTACACAGTGATTAATACTGGCTACCGTCATGGTCTTAAAACACCTAGAAGGAAAAACAAGGGTCAGGTTTTTCTAAGACCTCGAGGTAAATCATTATTTAGAATTTCTCTGGATTTTTAAATATTGTCATTTGTAGCTAAACTGTTATCACTTCTTCCATTATATTCAACAGGTTCTAAAATGCTGTGTTGTCATCTTCATTTGATTCTAGACATTTTTGAAATTTTTTCTAGATTTGATGGCCAACTTAATAGTGCATATTAGGTTCCCATAAATTTGTGTATGTTCTGTTGTTTCTCTTCCTATTTATTTCTGGTATTCCTCTGTACTTTCCAAAGTTTCCTTATGGAAACAAAGGTTGGTTTCAACTTACAGTATTCTAAGTTTAGGTATAAGTTTAGATAACCCCACTTGTTTGGGCTTCTAGTGAGGATAGCACTTTATGAGTACATGTAACAGCAAACTTACACATCTTAAACTAGGAAGCAGAGAAAGGAGGACAGGGATACCACAATTTCTCTTAAGGGCATGTTTTATAAATAAAAATTCATATTGGTTCATTACTACCATGCTTGCTGTTTTAGCTAGTCTCGATGTCCAGACAGCTCCTGGAATCTGTTTGTCCTTATCCCACCCCTGGTGGAAGTTACAGGCAAATGTAGCCATGCCAAGCTTTTTGAAATGGGTGTTAGGGATTTGAAATCACTGAACAATTCCCCAGCCACATGTCTTTTGTATGACAGAGTAAAATGAGATTTTTCTATTTCCATTACAGCATCTATGCTTTTACTTTGACTAAGTATTTCCCTTATT